TACAAATCAAAAAATATATATTATTTTTTTAAATCGTTATCCCATGTAAAAAATTAAACACTCTTAACCCGAAGCCGGATAAAACGAATGGCATTAGCCATTTTTTTTCCCTTCATTTTTGTTCCATTTTATCTTCCCAAAATTTTATATTACGATTTGTTTGCTAAAAGCCTAAAACAAACCTATACAAGAGGTGAGTGGTCCCACAAAAGTGTTGACTAGTCAAACTGTATTATCAGAAACGCTGTCGTTCTGTTCTGCTTTTATCTTACATTCTTACTCCCCAAGATTTCCTATTTCCCATCTCCTCAAGTTTGTTCCCGCAGATCTTCTTCAAATCGACCGCTTGATTCATAAGTCCGGAGCTCGTAAGTTCATCACATTTAAGTAATTATATACGTTCTTTGTGGAACTTGTATTTATTTTCTGATCAAAGTGAATATTTCAAAATCCAGTTACTTGACGATGCCAAGCAAAACAATGGATGTTCCAAAAACAGGATTCAGTTTCGACCTGTGTAGGAGAAACGATATGTTGACGAAGAAAGGATTAAGATCACCATCGTATTTGAAAACAGGAACCACCATCGTTGGTTTAATTTTTGAGGTACGCTGGTTCTTCTACTATGTTTCTTCAATTGCTTGCTTGTTCTGTTTACAGTTTGCGTCTCACATTGGCTTTAAGTGAGACTATGTCAATTGGTTTCGTTGTTTTGGATTAATCATCAATTAGGGTTTTAAATAGTTTTCACATGCATATTTTATCAGCTTCTACATCTTCAAAACTTTTAGAATCGATGTCAAAATTTGAATTGCAAGTGAGCTCATTTGATCCCTCTATCTAACTGCATAATCAAATTCATTCTGGTCTTTGGCATCACACATTTGAAATTTGAACCAACTGAACTAGTCAAACCTGTAGTTTACAGATGCAATCTACTCCCCATAATTTCAGTAGTTTCTCTTGAAATGGATTTATCTCTGATTCATTACATTCTTCTTCAGAATGGTGTCATTCTTGGAGCAGATACCAGAGCAACAGAAGGGCCAATTGTTGCTGACAAAAACTGTGAAAAGATTCATTACATGGCACCAAACATATATTGCTGTGGAGCTGGAACTGCAGCTGATACAGAAGCTGTTACAGGTACTTTTATAGTCCTATATATGCTACATTATAATACTATATGATCCAATATATACACAATTGATAATATCTTTTTATGGTAGACAACATCAGCTCTCAGTTGAAGCTTCATAGATATCATACTGGTCGTGAATCAAGGGTTGTAACAGCTCTTACACTATTAAAGTCGCATCTTTTCCGGTTAGTTTCTACATAAATAATATTTATTTTCTTTTTATTTAAAATTTGCCTAATTTGACTTTATCTACCTAGCTACCAAGGTCATGTATCTGCTGCTTTGGTGCTTGGTGGAGTTGATGTAACAGGCCCACATCTACACACTGTGAGTAAATCTCCATTTTTTTCAATCATCTAAAAATACCCAATTGGATCTTTTTTCTTAACTTATCGAGTTCTTCAAATCACAATTTACAGATCTACCCTCATGGATCCACTGACACTCTTCCTTTTGCCACTATGGGTTCTGGCTCTCTTGCTGCAATGGCCATTTTTGAGTCAGAGTATCGTGAAGGGCTTACTGTATGCTCTTTATTAATCCACCTTTTACCTAATATAAGATTAAAAAGTTTACTTTTTTATATAGGGAATATGGTGTATTGCTTATTATTGGCGACTCTTTTAACTTTTTTAACAGAGGGATGAAGGAGTGAACTTGGTGACCAAGGCTATATGCTCTGGTATATTTAATGACTTAGGAAGTGGAAGCAATGTAGATGTCTGTGTGATAGAAAAGGTTTGTTTCCTTGTCTTTGTATTAATGAGCTTTATGGGTTAAGTACTTAATGTGGACAGATATATATGGTTGTTTCTTTTTTGACTTAATCTAGACATAATGACCTTTTTTATTTAATGTTATGTGGTGCAGGGGAAGAAGGAATACTTGAGGAATCATTTGACTCCAAATCCACGTACTTACATCAGTGAAAGAGGCTATACATTTTCCAAGAAGGCTGGTTAGTGATTCCATAGACTTTATATATAGGCTTAACCTATTATTACTCTTCTTGTGTTAATAAAACTATAAAAAAGAAGAAGAAAAGTATAAGTTAAATGGATTGATGTTTTGTAGAGGTTTTGCTTACAAAGATTACACCATTGAAAGAGCTGGTTCATGTGGTTGAAGTTGGTGGAGATGCCATGGAAGAATGAGTGGTGACATTAGAGAACATTTCTGACAAATTGTGTAATGTTTTTATGGTGATTGGAAGCTTCCAAGATGAAATTATTTACAAAAATGCATGATTTGCAATTTTGCATGCGTTTGTATTGTTGATTTGTGTTTATAATATTTGGAAGTGGGAAATTTAAGCTATTGTTCAAGTGGTTGTTGTAGCACATTTGGTCTCAAGTTAAATGCACAAATTGGATGTAGTCCCATTAGTCATAATAAGCGTTGATTTGTAACTGCAACCTCATATGAACTTGAAACCGACTTTAATGGTTTATAGAAAGAAGATTTGAGAACATTATTTATAAATGCATCACCATTCGTTCTTCTCGTAGCATATTTTGGAGAGTGAACCCTTTTCCAATAGTGGTTACATAATTAAATAATAATCAAGTTTCAGATTTGTTCCATCAAGGTAAAAAAAAAAAAAAAAAAAGAAAATTAAAAGGATTTTATCAAAGTAGATGCCACCGGCCGACTAGAGTGACTAGGGGTGATCTACGGTTGATTTTTTTCGGTTTTTTTTTTTTTTTTTTTTTAGCATCTTAAAACTAACTATAACCAAACCAAATAGGGTTTGATTTAATTGGTTTTGGTTAATTCGGTTTCGCATGTAAAAAAAATATTAAACTAAAAAGGAAAAACAAACTTACTAAACGAAAAAAATATGCTAATACACAACATATTATATTCAGTCTTGAAGTGTCGATGAATACATACAAGTTGTAGAGAAATTGTTAATATAGTTTTAATCATATATGAATGTTAATATAGTTGTTTTTTAATACGATATATAAACAATTATAAATTTATAATGGTTAATAATTAATAATGAGTTATGAAAATCTTTTTAGTAACTAATCTATCAATTAAAATAAAAAATATTAATTTATAGATATAAACTATAAAATTATATATTAATTGAATAGCTTATTTGGTTTTTTCGATTTAATCAAAATAATAAAAATTTAACAAAAACAAAACCAAATAAAGTATCATTATTCAGTTAACCAATCTGAATAACCGTAACCAAATGAACTAAACATTATTTGGTTCAGTTTAATTATTCAGTTTTGTTTTCTTATCACACCCCTACAGTTGAGTATTAATTACCATCCTTGAATCATAGATTTATCATCACCATTCTTGTAGTTAACGCCTTAACGGGAACAGTGACACACTCACAACAAAATATCAGGGATAGAGATAGGACGTTCAAAAAATATTTGAGGACAATGTACCGGTAAAATTGCATTAAAATGGAAAATTCTCAAAAAAATTTACATTACTCCAAAAAGTTGGAGAAATAGAACGCAAGCAACCACTTGCAACTAATTGGGTCCACACATATTGGGGAACGACGACGAGTGTTACAAAGTTATATATTTTATTAATACCATGGCATGATTACAACTTGAATTAACCAAATATTATTAATAGCACATGAAATCATATAACTACAAAGATTCAAAATTTACTTGACCAAATTAAATGAAAATTATTCTACAAACTTAATCATCACATTTTTTTTTTCAATTAAGTCCTAACCTGGTAACGTAATCAAAGCGGGATAATTATTGGGTTAGCCGGTACCTAACTAATGTGACACCTTACATGGAAGTCATCATGTTAAATGACATCCTGCGTGCCATTTAGGAGGGCTAAATATATGCATCGGGCTCTTCTTCTTCGTTCGACAGTCAAAGGAGCGGACGATTAGGGCAAATTGGAAAAAAGAAATCGATGTCGAGTTCTTCAAGCAACACCATCAGAATGTGCTATTGTGGGGATAGGGTTGGAATGTGGACATCATGGACTCGAAAGAATCCAGGTCGGAGGTTTTTTGGTTGCCCAAATAACATGGTATAGAATCTTCAATCTCACTCGGATTCTTCTATTCCACTAGAATTCTTCTATGTTAAAACATGCATCTTTCTATGTTATGTAGGGTGAAGAGAAGGACTATGGGTATTTTCGTTAGATTGACCTACCGTTATTGAATAAGTGATATAGAGAAAGAATGTATAAATTAGGAGTTGTTGCTAATGGGGGTGTAGTTGTTCCTTTCAATAACCCTGTTAATGAAGTTGAAATACTTGCTGATGACCCTATTGCCCCTGCGAATGCCCTTGAACCTGATAATTAGATTACGGTGCTTGAGAACTCACATGTGTCTGCTAATGGACTTGGATTCTGGAAGTGGATGATGATTTGTTTCATTTTTTTCATTGTAGGGATGATGTATGGTTAGTTTAGTGTAAGTTACAGGGTATTATGGTATGGTGAGGATGATGTAATATTTTGGTTTGTTATCATGATGTAATGGATGTATGTTCTTATGGATCACGTAATGTTTTGGTTAATGAAATGGGAATATGTTATTATGATTTGCATACATGGTGTACACTTGAAAAATATAACCATGAAATATGCACACTTGACAACTATAATAATTAAACAATAAACTCCAATATGTCATTACCAACCATGTTAAAGGATTCACAATGTTTCAATGTGTTTGCAAAAGATGTACAAAATATGGCTACCAATAATTTAATGGCATTCACAAAAGATATAAAAAAGTAACATTCACAAAAGATGTACAAAAATGGCCATTTAATCATCATTTCCCAAATATTACTCTTAATACCCTTAATACCCTTGCTACCCATAATACTCTACCACCCTAATCCAACTCCAACACTGAATTTGCAGAAGTCCCAACACATCCTATCTTCTTCAGCTTGGTTTTGACAATCCTCTCATAAAGCCTTATTCTTTTCACAATCATAAGGTGTAGTGGTAATTCTTGGGTTTCATTAATGCCTTCTTCTTCTTCTTCTTCTTCACTTTCTGGCTGTGTCTCATGGATAATTTCTCCAACCCCATCTTGTGTCTCAGTCTGAGGTGGATCCTCCTCTTCATGTTAAACATCAAGCAATTAATAACATAAATGAATGTTGAGATTAATGTAAGATTAACCAATTAAATATGAACACAAAGAGGGTTTACCACAAACATAGGAAGAACTTGTTCAATAGTGTCATTGTAATCATTGAGTTGTTTCATGTGTGAATCTGTCAGACTAAAGGTATTTTAAATTTCTTCAATTGAATACTTTGATGCTTTCAAATCTTGCATTGCCTTCCATAGATGGACTAAATATCTTTCAAGAATAATGTCATCCTTATTTTGAATCTCAACCACTCTAGCACCTTCAACTTGAGCCATTCCACCGTCCTCAACTCCACCAAATGTCTTAACACCTGTAACGCCCGCAGATCCGGGCTAGTCAATTTAGAGGCAATAGGGGTCAAAAATGAATTTTCGACAAAAGATTATTTAGAATGAATAGTCTTAACCAAGTTTTAGAATATGTCACAAGGTTTCCGTACATATAAAGAACGCCGAAATCCGAGTTATAACGAAGAAGTTATGGCCCGCCGAAGTTTTACGGCAAAACCGGCACGGCACCGGAAGACATAAATAGTGAATTTATGATAGAAGACTTTTTAGCCTTAGCAATCTAAACAAAATTCGTAGAATATGTTAAACTAAGAGCATCGATAAAAATAACGCCCAAATCTGACTTCGTATGAGGAAGTTATGATTTTTCTAAGATTCGGCTTAGCAGTGTACAGCCCGAAACTCAAATTTTAGTTCGAGCGGTTTTTGGCTTACGTGAAATAAATGAGAGTTGAAGATCTCATTAATAGGAACTCAACGGTAAAAAGACAGACGAAAACGGAGTCCGTATGAAGGAGTTACGAATTCTTCGCGGTCATTTAACAGTCTAAACGCCTCGTACTGTTAAATTTAAGATCGGTCGAGAATTAGCCGACGGAATCAAAATGAAAGTTGTAGATATTATTTTTACCTACGCGTGGATATAAAGAACGTCAAAAACGGAGGTCGTATGTGAAAGTTACGGATTTTAGAAGTCGGAAGTGTGTTGTGCGAAAATGGGTGATGTGACACAATCTTGGCCATTGCTTTCTCCCCAAGTCTTGCCACTAGATGGTGACATGTGGCACCAAGTTCAGCCATTTTCACCCTATAAATACCACCTCTCCCACCCTCATTTTCTTCACACCTTTCCCATTCTTTCTTCTCTTTACTCTCTCTCTCTAGAACCTCTCTCTAGCCCCGAAATCCCCCGAAAAGCCTAGGGAACCTCCCTAGCACGAGGCGGAAGCCCCGGAGTGCTCGACGGCTCCGAGAAGAAGAGCTTTTCGGCTCGGAAACGCTGCTCCAAGCAAAGCCTGGTTTTCTATAAAATCCGCTATAAGTGAGCTACGCCTACGCTATTTTTAATATAGTTTTTATTTAATTATATTAACGTTATTAAGAACATATAATAAATACTTGGGCTATTATTATGGGTTATATAAGTATTTTTTTTTACGCTTATATAATAGTAATAATAGCTAGACTATTAATTAGTCTCGGCGAATAATAGACTAAAATCTATTGGTGATAATATTAGGTTTCGTCGAAAGAAATTATTTTAAAGTAAACGAAGCGCTGTCCAAGTACCGAGTCACCACCTTCTCAGGTGAGTGCATACTTACTTTCAGCTTACACATAGATATGAAGTATTTTATATAAATTACGTGTTGTGTGTGTATATTATCTGTATACTTGCTATCTATGCTGGATGAACGTTTTATACATGTTTTCAATGATTTAAACTGTATATGTATCTTATATCTACAAAATGTGTTGGGTAAAACATGGGTAGATGTATTAGTTGTTGTGTGATAAAATGAAATAATGAGATGCCTCGTTATAGATGTTCTTGATGATCTAGTCATCTAGCGGAGTATAGATTACGACCACGGACTATTCTAGACAGTCCAGTGGAACACTAGCAGGCTCGCAACCTGTAGGTGTTTATTCGAACTGTGTGTTTAACCGAACTGTGTGTTTGTTCGAACTGTGTTTATTCGAACTGTGTGAACTGTGTGCTCACCAGATATACTCCATCCCAATGATAGTCCTTTGACTAGGTCCCTTGTGTTAGATGTTTTAGGGACGTAATGTGAGGATAACGGGAATTGGTAATTGGGTTAATTGTTTGATGTTTAAAAAAAATAATAATTATATTATTGTGGGTTGAAAACCCTATGTACTCACCAGGTTTCCCAACCTGACCCACTCAGTTTATTTATATCACAGGTGTTGATATGAAGTGACATTACACTGAGAGATTTAAAGAGATGTAGACCACTAGTGTGAATAATTGTAAGTTCTGTTTATGCTTATGTTCCTGTATTAACGATGACATCCCAAACGTTTTAAAATGAAATAAATACGTTTCTTCGAAAATGTTTTAATAACGTATTTACCATGTTTTTCTGGGAACAAATTCCGCAACCTTTTTATAAAATGAAGTACTCTGATTTTTATAAAGCATAAACAAAATCGGTCTTTTCTGGCCGTGATTTTTGGGGATGTCACAACACCCCTACCACCACTTGTACCACCTCTATTACTACCTTTACCACCTCTCTTACCCACTGCACCACCTCTGCTACCCACTGCGCCACCTGTCTTATCCACTACACCACCTTTCTAACCCTTGTACCACCTCTACTACCTCTAACACCATCTCTTACACCACCTCTAGTCCAATGACTGATATCATGATCCAATATTGGTCTACGCATTTTTTTCTTGGGTTTAGGTTCTGATGTGACCTTGAGATTCTTACAGGATACCTTGGTGTGACCCCTTTGAAGACAGTTTTTGCATTAGGTTGTCCTTCTTATTCCAGTAACATTCATCTTCTTTTGGGAGTATTTGTCTTGAGATTCAGTAACATGCTTGTTTCTTTTTAGAGTTGGTGTCCCTGGCATTCTTCTAGCTAAAAGGGAAAGGGCTTTATGTATGTAGTTCTAGGCCATAAAATTCTATCATTCACAAGTAGTATATTGTTTGCATATATGGCCTTGAACCTATCCACGTTAAACCACTCACTGATGAACTGAATAGAATCTTGTATGTAACGCCCGAGTGTGTGGGCTAAGTATTAATGATGATGTAATAGTCTAGGTCAACCATTTTAACTCATTTTGAAGTAATAAAGATGAATTATTTTAGTATTATGTGACTTATGTGAATTTATGTGATTTATACTTAATTATGATGATATGATAAATTAAGAATGTAAATAAGCGTCAAAAAATAAAATGTTAGATAAACCTAATATCTATGAAGAAAGTTGTAGTGGTTGGTCATGACAAAGATTTCGGAGATACAAAGAACGCCGAAATCCGATTATAACGAAGAAGTTATGGTCTGTCGAAGTTTCGCGACAGAACCAGTACGACGTCGTGTGACGTAAAAAATGAATTTACAATAAAGTGATTTTTAGCTTTAGCGATCTAAAAGAGAGTTGTAGTGTTCGTTAAACTGGGAACGTGCATAAAAAACGTCCGAATCTGACTTCGTATGAGGAAGTTATGAATTTTCTAAGATTTGACATAGTTGTGTGCAACTCGGAATTCGAATTATAGATCGAGCGATTTTTAGCTGACACAACTTGAACGAGAATCAAAGATCTCGTCAATAGTAGTTCAATGGTAAAAATCAGACAAAAACGGACATCGTATGAAAAAGTTATGAATTTTTAGTGGACTTTTCCTGTCCCGGCCTGTTAAAAATATAACTTTAAAAATAAATCAAAATTAGCCGATAGGGTCTAAATGAAAGTTGTAGAGTACGGTCTCACCTACACTTGGATATAAAGAACGTCGAAAACCGTTTCTTTGTGTGGTGGAGGGTCGTTAATCGAATGGGTTCAATAGGACATAATCACATTAAAAGTATAATGATATAAATGACTAGAACATTATTTTAAAATCTCACTCTAGTTACTTTAAGAACAATATGAAATGCATGTTAATCGATGAAAATACACATTGTTTCTTTATGAGTTGTTAATGGAGCGTGTGTGGTTAACCGACACACAAATTTAGGACTATAAAGATGAAAGGATGGCACAACTCAAAAATTATCATTGTTGATATAGCATATGTGGTTTACCGGCATGTAAAATTTAGATGATAAATAACCTCTAGGTTGTCAGGCAGGTTCATATGGTTATTCACATCTTAATTGTGATCATCAACATCTCATTCGCATTTGGTAAGAGCATAATCTGAGATTAAACATGCAATTGATATTTCAATGAAAATCTCAAGAGTTCTAGGAGTTTCATGTGATTGAACTTAGTGATTTGTTTCTACCTACCTAAAATAGTTTTGTGATATGACTACGACATCCTTCTTCATATTACGAAATGAAAATATGGATCCTATCCTTAATCTAAATTTTGAGTTAATAATAAAGGATTAAAATCAACTAACTTGAATTTTATTTTTTCCTACTTTTAGATGTCTAGTGAAGATAAAAATGGTCTTCCTTGTTCTTTTGGAAATCCCTCTCCTCGTTCTTCTGAATATTATCTTCTATACTCAAATCAAGGTGAAATTGTATTCCCTTATTTGGTTAATGGTAGGACTGGACATCGTCCATCTTCAACTCTTCCACCTCTTCCTACTATGCCTCTCCCAACATCATGTTTCCCTTAAGTTAAAAGATGGAGACTTTGTGTATGTGTGTATGTTCTGAAAATGAAATCGTACATGACAAGCTGAAAAGAATGGGTTTCGTATTCCTAAAGGAGCAAGCCAATACAAAAACATAAGCATAACGAAATATTACAAGCCATACATTAATTAAACTAATGGCCTGATACTCCTTGAATCCCTTAGCATAATGTATCTTTAATATCGCTACTTGTGATACAATAAACTGAGTAGGTCAGGTTGGGAAACAAAGTGAGTACATAGGGATTTCAATCCCACAATGTGATAATAATGTATATCTCAAATCTGTAAAACCAATTATTATTATTAACACACACACACACACACACACACATATATATATATATATATATATATATATATCATACCTCTAAAACAATTTATCCTATCCTATCGATTCCTACGTACAGATCCTATACAACTATCTTACAAGATCTAGCCTAAAGGATCAATATGAACAATAATTAGATTGTTCAAATTATCCACAGTCTATCATACTTTGTAAGTAAGTTATGAGGTTAGACTGTCATGATTTGTTTTGTAGATTGTCTAAGTGTTTAGACATAACAAAGGTTTGCTGCAACGTTCATGAGTACTCTTGAAATAAGATTTGAGTATTGGATTGAACTCATGCTCATGTGAATTACTTCATGGAATTTATCACGAGTGATTGTGAGACGATAATATCGTATAATCTTTAAACCGAGATATATGAGTTGTTGTTCACAAGTTGGTTGTGCATTGATAATGCGTAAACGCATCAGTAACTTGATGTTATAAAACATTTTTTTGTGTATGATTTAATGAGTAAATAGTACAAAACTTATAAGTCAAAGTTTATCTGTTCCTTTTATCCTAAAAGGGTCAAAACAATATCTTGGGCCCCTCGATGATTTTGTCTTGACTTATGTGTCAGACTCGGTTAGGACTGAATTGATGTGTTCAATTAAGTTCTATGTCAAACAAATCAGAAGTTGGGAAATAAACTGTTGGACATTGAGAATGATTATGTTCCATGTCTTTGTCCACACGATATCTTGCAAAATGGAGGATTATATGATCCCTTATCTAAAGGACGCGATATTGACTAGGTAAGAGTTCGACAACGACTTTTGAGAGCTACGATTGCTAATCAGATTCTGAAGTCATACTTGCAATTATAGTTATTAAACTTATCCAAGTGGGAGACTATTGGATTAGGTGCCTAAGTCCATAACTATAATTGGTATGTACTTGATTTGATAGTAACATGGGCCTTTTAGGTTGCCTTTACACTGATGATTAGTCAAGATGACTATTAAGGAGAGATGTTGATTTTATTACTAAGAATAATAAATTGGAGCATAAATATGATTTATTAATATATTATAAGAATAATATATTAATTCGAAATCCTATTATTAATTAGTATTTAATCAGAAATTAATTTAGAATTAATTTTAGGATTAAAAGGAACTGACTAAAAGTGCAGGGGTTGTTTTGTAATTATTTGAAAGTCTAGGCTTTGGGCCATTGGATCACCCTTATTAGGGATGGAGCGCAAATCCCTAGAAGGTTCTATGTATTTTCGTCCAAGGCCTAAGGTAAAGAGGTTTATGGACTTGCTTAGGCCCTAAGCTAAAGAATTAGGGGTTCCACCTTAAAACCCTAGCTAGCCTCAAGTATAAATAAACCCCTTTGGCACTAGATTTCGTCCACACCTCGTGAAACCATAGGAGTGTCGATTTTTGGAGCAAGCTACCCTATCTCCTCTCTCATATTCATCCTTTCACCCTAGTGTGTTTGTGAGCCATTAGAGGTGCTACAATTGTGGTACTTGTTCTCAAGAGCAAAGGAACTTCAAGAATTAATTGTTATTACTATATAACAACAAAGATATGTAATCTAATCTTTCATATATGTATTTCGAAAATATTAGATGCATATTAGAGTTTTCTTTTTGTGTTCATTTGTTGTTTGTCTACTAGAGAAAACATAGATCCAAACTAGGGTTGCATGCATACATATGATTGTTTGTATAAAACCCAACATTACAATCCTCTCAGATAGACACAAGTAATAGTTTTATTTATATTCATTGTTTTAATCATGAATATACCAAAAAGAATCACTATTTTAATCATGCAAATACTAACATTTCTAAACATGGTTTAATTAAAGTTGTCAGTGAAAGGGTACTAGCAGTAGAACATATATTGTATGATAGATACATCCTTTCTAACTTCCGAAAAAAGGTTTAAAGGTGAACACTTTTTCAAATTATTTTGGAAGACTATGAGGTCTAGTACACAAACAAAATTTGAAGATGTTATGAATAACATCAACATCATAAATAGACAGACATATGATTATCTCATTGAGAAGGATCCATAATATTGGTTAAAGGGCTTTTTTGAATGAGGATATGCATTGTGATCCAGTGGAAAATGAAGTGCTAGAGAGTTCAATACTATTATCCTTGATGCTAAAATGAAGTTAATTATAAAGATGTTGGAGGAAACTAGAGTGTATTTTGCAAAAAAAATAAAAGAAAAGAAAAAGAAAAATCCAACAACTTTACTAGAGTATTTTACAAAAAAAAAAAAAAAAAAAAAAAAAAAAAAAAAAAGAGAGACTAACTGTGTACAAAACAAAAAAATATATTGCATTTTTAAGTTATTTTCCCTATGGAATAAACAATGTATGATGCCATCTCATTATTGATTATGCCATATACGATGTTATTTCAACAAATATGTTGCAGGTTAAAAGGACTAAATATCAGCAAAACCAAAAGTGTACCGATGTCTTTTATAGAAAAAATAAAAATAAACAACTAAATGTGCACATAACAAAAAGAATAGGGTAAATTACACCATTCATCCCTCGTATACATGCCAAAAATTGTGTTTAGTCCCTATTTTCAAAAATTAACTCGGATCGTCCCTCGTTTGTTTAAAAGTTGCACACTCCATCCCTGATACGTGGTTTTGTTGCAAATCTAGTCCATATAAGTTTTGAAATGACCATAATGCCCTTTATTTATTTATTTTCTAATTATTTTTGATTTATTTAGT